CCCCAAAACCCCAAAACCCCAAAACCCCAAAACCCCTGATGAATAGAATTTAGTGTAAATAGTAGCTTGTATGTTTATATAAGATATATTAATTAAACAATGAGCTCAAGAAACACTTCCAAAGACGAGCAACTCGTTGATGTGCTGCTTAATGACTCTATCAAAAGTGAAAAGGAAATACCTAAGTAAGACAAAACCTGGGTTGCTTATACCCTTGCCGCAGCCATTTTGTTCACAACTTGCAATACAGCACTATCTGAAATTAGTAAATTGGGTTGGACTGGTGTAATTTACATCTCTCCTGGTACCTTAATATGCTGCATTACTTATTTTACATATAAGACCATTGATGAATATATGACTAGAGGATTTTGCTGGACTGATCTTAATCTGATGGACAAGCATACCAATCATATAGTATGGAGAAATATAGTAGATGTAATAATCTATTGCCTCTTGTATTTGACTATTTAAACTGTTGTGATCGGCACTTTTGGCTTATGCTTGTAGGCTAACTTGAACGCGGGAATAGTATCTACTATTTGGTCAGCATCACCACTTTACAGCGCCATTCTAGATTACTTCTTTTTCAAGCAAAGTCTAAATGTCAATCACATTATAGGCATATTCTCTCTCATTTTATGTGCTGCTTGCATTAGTTTATCAAACATTGTTGGTGTTCAAGCCTTAGAAAGTAATGAGAAACCTCCTACAATTGATGCTTGGATCCCAGTAACAATAGCAGTGATAACCCCATTAGTATTTGCTGTAAATGGCATTCAAATAAAGAATATGGTTACTCATCATGGCTTTGATGTTATTAAGGTTAACTTCCTTTGCTACGGAATAGGGGGTGTTGGCTTATTCATTGTCTTATTGACTAAGATTTAAGCAGATGATTTTAGTGATTATTATTTTACTGTTGGTGCTATTGGCAGCATTATTAACACTCTTGGTCTTGTAAGTATCAACAAAGCATGCACTATCGGACCTCTAGGGCCAGTGAATGCTCTAAGTGCTACAAGCACAATAATGTTCAGTATTGTTACTGCAATAAGATTAGCGAAACTCCCTAAGCCATTGGAATTTGTCGGCATGTTCATTGGAATATTTGGAGCCCTTATTTTGACAGTCCCAGACTATCTTAAGAGATTTTTTCTATGGGTTACTTGCTAATCATAATCTGAGGTAAAATAAGAGGAAAAAGATGAATTCGCAAAGTTATGATTGTAATCAAACGAGTTATAATTAAGAATTTCAATAGCATAATTGATAAAACAGAAGTTTGATAAATGTCTATCATTTAAATCTTCTAATTTATTAAAGCGTTTATATATTTAATATACTTTCCTAATTTAAGGAATATTTACTGTTTGGGGTTTTGGGGTTTTGGGG